TTACCTGTAGCACCATCCAGCGCCGATGGTGTTAAGTGGCTAGTAAAATCGTGTATGGATTTACCTGTAGCACCATCCAGCGCCGATGGTGTTAAGTGGCTAGTAAAATCGTGTATGGATTTACCTGTAGCACCATCCAGCGCCGATGGTGTTAAGTGGCTAGTAAAATCGTGTATGGATTTACCTGTAGTACCATCCAGCACCGATGGTGTTAAGTGGCTAGTAAAATCGTCTATGGATTTACCTGTGGCACCATCCAGCACCGATGGTGTTAAGTAGCTAGTAAAATCGTCTATGGATTTACCTGTGGCACCATCCAGCGTCGATGGTGTTAAGTGGTATGGCCAGGAAAGGGAAATTGTAAGAACGTTGATTATCCGGAAAGTCGTCGGAGAATTCATAACAAGAACAATTAAACGTACATTGCTGTACGTAAATAACTATGAAAAGTATGTGGATATGAAAATTTGTTCATCTAAGTAGGTAAGACAAATTTCCCACTTTCGCGCCAAATTTACGTACTAAAAGGGGCTTACGATTAAATACGTAGCATGGGGCCCAGGGTGACCCTATTAGTTCGTACTGTTACTTTTCATGTTCTGTTTTACACTTAGTTATAATTTTCGTTGGAATCGTTGTTGCTCAGAAAGTCTTTATTATCAATATCTTTCTCCTTTAGGACTAATTTGCTGAGACCATCGTATATACATTTATTTATTGAGAATTTTTTAAATATGTATTATCCTTGGTGGGTACGTATTACCGATCTTCCATTCCATACTTGTTTCAACAAAATTTGTATGTTTTTTAAAGTAGAAACGTATCAAAACTCAGACGTCATAGAAATGTATGTCTTTGTTATGAACAACGCGAAACTATTAAACAGATATATCGCAGTTTTATACTGATGGATTTCTGTTTTGTCACTCGTGGCTAGGGTTGCCACCTGTTACATATTTTACAGAATAGTTTATCACTCAGTTGTAAAATACAGCATTCTGTTTTAGGTAAGAACGAAACGCGATTTGTGCTTTATTATGCTTAGAGGGCAACATTTTATTTTTTAATCCTTAGTGTTTGACTTTACAAAAATGTAGAAAATTATCAAATACTAACACTACACCAACGAAAGTGTATCTCATTTTAGAACAGTTCAGGTGGCAACTACACGCATGAGCATCGCGTGTTGCTCAATAATATTAGGGCCTTTATGAAATAAATGTCGAATCTCTAACAAATCTTTTGAAGATTTATTTGATGCCGTTCCTCACTATATAAGTCTAGTGCCTTTTAAGAAGGTTCTCGACGTCTATTTTAGGACTTGAATATGAATTCGGTATGTAATTAAGCTATTGGGTTTCTATTCTGAAAATTAAAATATACTCTTTCATGAATATAACCATATATGTTCTTTCGACTAGGAGTAGAACTGTATATTTATAAAATACAGTACTCTCAATAGGTTTATCATCGAAATCGCTGATGCATGCCTGAAGAACTTTCAAGTTTCACGTTAAAACTTTAAAAAGCAGCTTACAGAATGAGAAGTTATATTGTGAATTTTCCTTCTTTATTGTCAGGTCCAATTTCATAATTCATAGGCTACGTCGAATCTTCAGTTGTTCCCCATCTTCGGGTCAAACGTGACCAGTGGCTGGCGTGCTGGACTGTAGATATGCGGACCCAATTTTCGCATTTTGTTATCGCAAAAACAAAATAATAATCACACTCCGCAATTTGTAGCCATGGGTGTGTTATAAGGGTAACGATTAAATATCATTGTTTGTTCAGACAAGAGTAGCCCAAGGTAGGCGATGTTGACTAGCTAGTTGCCTTTCTTCTAGTCTTCCATTAAAATTTAGAGACGGCTAACGCAGCTTTGTGTGAATGTTCGGAAACAAACTAGTTCCTTATCTTTAGCTCGACAAAGTAAAGTTACTATTAGTGATAGCACTTTTATACTTAGTTAAAATTAAGTTGTTTTTTTTTATTTATAGGTATTACATTCTGAAAATTAAAAAAAATATCATGATGGACTTAAAGTATGTAGATGAACATTTGATATACAGTTAACTATGTTGTGAGAATTTACAATAATTATTTAAGAACGTAATAAGTAGAGATGAAAGTAAATTTAATTACATTCTTTATCTAACAAAGATTGTCATTCCAAGAATACAGGAAACTTCCGGAAAACAAAATGTTTACAAACTAGAATGGGCTTAGAAGACCATGAACCTTTACGTCTTGATATGGGAAGAACAGTGTAGCTAATTTTTAAACGCTTTTGCAGTTGCAATCACTTTGACTAATGTGGTTGGTTGGTTTCTTTTCATCTTATTTTATCTAAAATTGTCCAGTATGATTTTAGAAAACGTGTTATCGCTTATGTAGTTCGTGATCGTTTTATTAGCTTCAAGAAGGGTTATAGAGGTTGTAACTGTTTGATTTATTTTAGGGAACTGGTGAAGTCACGTGGGTAATAGAAGGACATGCTGCACCGTTGGGTTCTCAAGAGCTAAGTGTCAAATCTGGTCAGCAGGTAGAGCTACTGGATTCTGTAACTTCGGGCCCGGATTGGTGTATGGTGCGTTTGCATTCCCCTGGCGGTGAGGGTAGTTGTTCTCCCTCTCGGGAAGGTTTGGTGCCTTCTTCGTGTTTGAAACCTACACCAAGCATGCGTACTTCTGCCAACACTACCGGTACTGAAAGTGAAGGTAAGTTTTCCTGCATTAGTATCACCAATTTTTAACATATTATAAATAATATACTGTACTGTCTAAATATTCCAAGATTTTGTGAGTGAAAGTGAAGAATAATGTGTTACAATATGTCAAACACATCGTATCTTCCATACCCAGTGCCGACGAGACCTTTCGCATAATGCTAGGGTTCATCATACGACATAAATATTAGTGATTGAGACGCTGTTTATTTTGCATGAACAACAACTTTTATGGTAAAGTGTAATTTTGAACAATTTTATTTAAGTCATTTACAAATCAGAGGTAAGTTAAGGATTAATAACATTATTTATTTTAACACCGATTATAATCATCATCATTTATTATGATTGATAGTTTGATTGAACTGAACATTTTTAAAATAACATAATTGTAAGATTTAAACAAACGACAATTTTGTTATTTATAAAAGCCAATTCTTTTTACTGTAATTTTTTAATACTGAGCTTATTTCTTTTATCATAAAGTGTGAAATTACAGTAACTATAAAAAAAACAAGCTATTTTCGTACATATACATGCACTTTATATTAAATGAAAAATGTATATTCTAAATAGTTATCTACATAATATAATTATAAAGATCTATGCAAATAAGTGAAATCTTAAAAAAGAGACATTTTACATAAAGAAGGCAATTTTTTAAAATGTTAGTTTTGATTTTTTATGACTTATCAACAATTATTTCTTGTTACAAAAAAAAAGAGAGATAATATCGAGTTTAAACATTCTTAATGTATTTGAGCCATTTCTCCAGAAGAGTTAGACCATCTTCAAATGAGCAGTAGAAGAATTTTTAATTTTTGGTGCTGCTCTTTTAAACTAGGGTATTTTAAGTATCACGTATTGACTATTTTGCTGGATTTTTATGCGTAGAAGATCATATAATAGAATTTAAATATTTAGTTATGGTTCATTTAATTGATTTAATGAACAGTTTTTAGCATAAATCCATTATTCCTTATTCAAGTGTAAGTATGATTCTTAAGTACTGTTTTCTACGTGTTTAAAGCAGTACAAAGTAATCCAAGTTTCAAAAATCTGGAAATATTATAAATTGTATGCTACCTAATTAAAAGGATTTATTTTGCTGCTATATGTTAGCTATACAATCACTTCTAGTCCTGTGTTTGCGCGCGCGCGTAAGAGAGCGTGGGTTGATGTATCTCTCTTGTAAGTACGCGCTCTTGAGTCTGTGTTGGCTTCGTACCATAATAGGACGGTTGGGTCTTGCGGTTATTTCAAGGACTTTGTTCTTTTTAAGTCTAACACCACCAGGATTTTGGTTTGAGGATATTGAAAAAACGCAAAATTTCTATATGAAATTGCTTTTCTTATACTTCGAAACTTATAAGAAGAACTAACTAATTTATAATTAATTTTAAATTACCAACACGGCTATCGTTAAATTACTTGTAAGACTGACCTCCGACTGGTGCGTTAGGGTAAACTTTCCCCTCTTTAAAAACTTCAACAATATCCAAACATTTGGTTATGTATTGCGAAATGTCACCGAGTGATAGCGCGAAAGTTCCTACTTACTATGTACAGGTAATGTGAAATCTCGTTTTAGTAATCCTGAATGATGTGTAATAATGTTCTGTAAAATGTATTCTAGGTAATTATATGTAATATTGTAAAAATGTAGTTAAATAAATGACTAGTTTTATTCAGTGAACTTTATTACTTCACGTCATTAACTATACAGCACTTCAAGATACGTTGTTCAATATACTTAAGATATATAATTTCAAAATAAATAACTAAGAACATAAATTTGGTATTTTTTCTTGGAACGAAAGATTTAAAGTTGCTAGGTCAGTGAGTAAGTGCTTATTGTTCATTGGGTGAATATACATTTTCATTTGTAAAATTAAAACGTTTTTTGGTTGTAATTGATACATAAAACCGTCGTTACTTGATGAAACTCGTAATTACGGAATTGAGGGGGGAACAAAGACAATTGTACGTTTCACAAATACTTCGTTTATTACCGACCATGGTTTTACCTTTACTGGTGAAATCACAGTCTTTAATATATGTTGTTAGGTTGAGGATAATGATACTTATTTTTAATTGAGTGACAAATAACTATTTTGAGGCCTGGTGTGGCCTTGGTGGTTAGGGCGTTTGGCTCACAATCTAAACCGGGCGTCGAACATGCTCGATCTTATAGCCATGTGGTGGGTTAAATGTGACGGTTAATCCCATTCGTTGATAAAAAAAAGTATTCCAAGAGTTAGCTGTGGCTGCTGTCGGCTGTTTGCTTTTCCTATGGTCAGCAGCTCAAAATTAGGGACGACAGTAGATGAAATTAGTAGCTTTGCCATAAGACAGAAGAAATGAGCAAACAACTAATAGTTACTTGTTAAAGGAATACAATGATACTTTATTGATAGTTTTTGGCCGCGGCATAGCGGCTCATAGAATTGCTCCGAGTGTTGTTTGTTTGTTTTTTTTTCTTCTTCTTCTTCAAGTTCAAACTTTTAGCTCGTAGCTCCATCTCTTGAACGATTTGAGATCTAATTTACGGCCGTGGCTATTGAGGATTACCTTATGTTAGCCGCGGAATAGTGACTCATAGAATGGCTGAGTTGTTGTCGTTGTTTTTTCAAGTATAAACTTTTAGCTGATAGCTCCGTCGTCTCTTGACCGATTTGAGATATAATTACGGTTTTGGACTCTTGAAGGTTAAACCCTTTCGATTGATGTATTCGATTATGTCCAAGGTCTCATAGGTTAATTTCCTCTAATCGTGCCTAAAAGAATTTCACTTTGAGGTTAGGCTAGTAGAGATTCTGATGATTAATAAAATCCAATCAGGTATACGCGCGCCCCACGTTTGGTATTGCTGGCGCACAAAAAATATAGCTAATAAAAAGGTCTCGTTGTGCCGTGGATATTGAGGATTTCCTCTTGTTAGCCGCGGCATACCGGCTCATGGTATGGTTCTGAGTTTTTCTTCAAGTACAAACTTTTAGCTCATAGTTCCATCTCTTGACTAATTTGAGATCTAGTTACAGCTGCGGCTATTGAGGATCCCCCTTTTTTTTTCTAGTTAAATAGTCTGTTCATTAGGTGTATACAAAAAAAAAAATTCGTTCAGTGCGCATATACATTAACATAATTAACTGTTCTTTTAGTTGTACCTAAATATATTACAGTTAATTGTTCTTCAAGAAAGTGCTGTATTTGGGTGAAACGATTAAGATGATAAGCTGTCCAATTGTTCTGTATTTAATATAACTTTCATTGTATGATAAATATTGTGTTCTACGGGTGAAAATGACAACTTCCTTATTGCTTATTGGGTGTATAGCAGTTCGTTAGGTAAAATGATAATGCTGGAAATAGTACGTGAGATATATATATATAATAACGCATTTCTAAAATGCACATCGGACTAAAAATGTTAATTTATCATTCAATTTAATTGAAAAAGAAATGTAACGTTAATAATTATGCAGTGGTTAAAAATATCCCTTCGTTAGTTGTGCATTAGATGAATGTACTTGGATTTCTTTATGTGGTCAGGAGAGTTTCACATGACGTGTATGGAATACAGTTAGGGCCAAAAACTTCTGAAGAAATATGTGTGCTCACCATAAGTTTAAGTTGGTTTTGTATCGAACGTCCTTAGTTACTTCAGACATCTTGTGAGAATTGTATTTTAATAAATAGCCACTGAATTGAAATTGGATGAGGCAATGGTTCGGAAGTTGACGTTGTCGCCTTGCAAACTCTGTAAACAGTTCCCATGTTCAAAGCTGTAAAATTAAATAGCGGCGTGTTGTAACATATTAAACAGCTTAGATGACGTAGTTGGGACTGTTATGATCGTTACTAGGTTGAGGAGATTTTGGTGAAACTAGAGCATTTGTAATTATTAATTTGGTAAGTTTTTTTTCTACAAGTTTGAAGCCCTTTTCGTTTACTCCTCCCCCCCCCCTATAATGCGGCACTATAGTTAGTTAGGAAAATGGTAACTTTTATAATGCTGTGTTGAACTATAATTTTCAGGAGTGGTAGAATTTGATCAATAACTGATATTTTGTTTGTATTTGAGGTAAAAATTCGTTCTTAAAAGTGAATAAGAAAAAAAAAAACAACAACAAAACGATTTTTATCGTCTTTACTACCAGATACGTGTAATGCATTGGTATTGATAACTGCAAATACTACCAAACACAACAGAAGTTTGTGCTTGTGCAGTGTTAATAGAACAAGGGGGAATCCTCAAGAGCTGCGGCATTTGAAATTATTTTAGGAAGGATTAGAGCAAATTAATCTACGAGACCTTTATTTTCCTTTCTATTAACTAATTTTTGAGCGCCAGCAATACAAAGCGTGGGGCGCGCGTATACCCGATTCGATTTTACTACTCATCAGGATCTCTACCAGCCTACCCTCAAATTAAAATTATTTTAGGCACGATTAGAATAAATTCATCTATGAGACTAGACATGATCGAGTACATCAATCGAAAGGGTTTGACTTCCTGAGTCCAAAACTGTAATTAAATATATCCCAAATCGGTCAAGAGACGACGAAGCTATGATCTAAAAGTTTGTTCATGAAAAAAAACAAAAAACACTCGGAGCCATTCTATTAGCCACTAAATATGTAGTTGTGTTAATACAATAATGTGACGCCACAAGTGTGAGAAAAGCTTCTATATTCTTGGTTCTCGGTGAAATCCTGACAACTTGACATACAGTGCCGCCATGGATGGACTTAGGGTTAAAGGACTTTGTCTACAGCCCATTTCGAGAAAGAATATTTTTATGGTAATACTGTATAAATGAATACAATGTTAATTAGTAACAAGGTTAAAAAGTTACCGCTAATAAAGAAAGATCTACTTCCACACTGGTTATCGAGTTTCTTATTCAGTGATATATCTTATTTTTGATCCCGTGTGAGTATTTTTTGAATGCTTAGTAAAATTGTTAAACGACACAGTATTTTCACGAA